GGTTTTGGTATTAGTGTAATGTTGGCTTCATAGAACGTGTTTGATATTGTCCCTTCCTTCTCAATTTTTTGGAAGAGTTTGTGAAGTATAGGCACTAATTCGTCTCAGAATGTTTGGTAGAATTCATTTGTAAATCCATCAGGTCCTGGGCTTTTGTTTTTGGGGAGGTTTTTGATTACCATTTCAATTTTGCTGCTTGTAATTGGTCTGTTTAGGTGTTCTATTTCTTCTTTATGTAGCTTTGGGTGATTGTAGAGTTGTAGGAATTTGTCCATCTCCTCTAGATTGTTAAACTTGTTTCCATATAACTGTTCATAGTAGTTACTGATTATTCTTTTGATTTCTGCTGTATCCGTTGTGATTTCTCCTCCTTCATTTCTGATCCTGTGTATTTGTGCTTTCTCCCTTTTTTCCTTTGTGAGCCTGGCTAGGGGCTTGTCTATTTTATTGATTTTTTCGAAGAACCAGCTCTTGGTTTCATTGATCTTTTGGATTGTTTTTTTAGTTTCGATTTCATTTATTTCTGCTTTGGTTTTTATTATTTCTTTTCTTCTACTGGTTTTTGGGTTTTTTTGTTGTTCTTTTTCTAGATCTTTGATCTTCGAGATTAGGTTGTTTTGTTGAGTTCTTTCTTGTTTCTTGATGTGAGCTTCTATTGCTATATATTTTCCTCTTATTACTGCTTTTGCTGCATCCCATACATTTAGGATATTGGTGTCCTCCTTGCCATTAAATTCAAAGAATTTTTTAATTTCTTCTTTGATCTCCTCATTAGTCCAGTGGTCTTCCAGTAGTGTGGTTTTTAATCTCCATGAGGTAGGAAAGTTCCTTGCCTTCTTTTTATGGTTTATTTCTAGTTTGATACCTTCATGGTCAGAAAAGATGGTTGGTATGATTTCAATCTTGCTGTATCTGTTGATGTTTGTCTTGTGCCCCAGTATGTGATCAATCCTGGAGAATGATCTGTGTGCGCTTGAGGAAAATGTGTACTCCATTTTTTTGGGGGGCGTTAGTGTTCTATAGATGTCTGTTAAGCCCAAATGCTCTAGGTCCTTATTTAGAGCTTTAGTGTCTTTACTTATTTTTTGTCTTGTTGATCTATCCATTGTTGATAGTGGTGTGTTGATTTCTCCCACTACGTATGTGTTTTCTCTGATGTCTGTTTTCAGAGATGACAACATTTGTCTGATATATTTTGGTGCTCCTTCGTTTGGTGAGTATATGTTAATGAGTGTTATTTCTTCTTGAAGTATTGTCCCCTTGATCATAATGTAGTCACCATTGGGGTCTCTTTTTACTTTTTTGAGTTTGAAATCTGTTTTATCTGATATAAGTATAGCTGTTCCTGCTTTCTTTTTTGGTCCATTTGCTTGTAGGATTGTTTTCCATCCTTTAACTTTGAGCCTATTTTTATCTTTTGTAGCTAAATGTGTTTCCTGGAGACAGCAAAAGGTTGGGTTTTGTTTCTTAATCCAGGCTGCAACTCTGTGTCTTTTTATTGAAGAGTTTAGTCCATTGACATTTAGGGTTAATATTGATATGTTAGCATCTGTATTTGCCATTGTGTTTGTCTTTCCTTTGATTTATTTATTCTTTCAATAACTTTTTTTTTTTTGGCCTTCTTTCGTTGTTATTCGTACCTCTGAGGTTCTGGCTTTAGGACTCCTTGTAGTATTTTTTTGAGTGGTGGTTTAGTTGTAATGAAATTCCTGAGTTTCTGTTTATCTGGGAAGGTCCTTATTCTTTCTTCATAGAGGAAGGAGAGCTTTGCGGGATAGAGTATTCTTGGTTGGCATCTGTTTTCTTGGAGTCTGTTGACTATGTCCCTCCACTCTCTCCTTGCCCGTAGTGTTTCTTCAGAGAAGTCTGATGTCAGTCTGATTGGTTTTCCTTTGAATGTTATCTGTTTCTTCCCTCTTGTCAGCTTCATTATTTTTTCCTTGTCCTGGATTCTTGGGAGCTTTACTATTATGTGTCTTGCTGTGTTTTTCCTTTCGTCGTGGAAGTTTGGTGTTCTTCTTGCTTCTTGTATATCAATTTTCAGCTCCTTCACATTTGGGAAGTTCTCTTCAATTATCTCTTTGAATATTTTCTCTGTTCCTACATCTCTCTCCTCTCCTTCTGGTATTCCTATAACTCTTATATTTCCTTTCCTCATGGAGTCAGATAGTTCCCGAAGTCTGTCTTCGTTCTTTTTCCTTCATACTTCTCTTTCCTTTTCTGTTTTGATTCTTTTTATTTCTGTGTCTTCAAGAGTACTTATTCGTTCTTCCATTTCATCTATTGTGCTTTCATTGCTTTTCCCAGAGTTCTTTAGTTCCTCCATTAATTCTTTGATCTCCTGCGTTTCTTTTGCTTCCCTTTTTAGGGACTCAATTTCATTCTTCTGACCGTTGTTTTCCCTCTTTAGGGACCCAATTTCCTTCTTCTGATCATTGTTTTCCTTTATGAGTTCTGTCATTTTTTTAATCATGGCAATTTTAAATTCTCTTTCTGGAAGGCTCAGAAGTTCTTCCAAGTTACTGTTGTTGCAATCTGGGGGGTGGTTTTCTTTTTGTGGTGTGCTTTTTTCCTAAGGAGTTGCTAGGTTGCGTGTGGTTCTTCTACTCCCTACTGTCTGTTTTCTAATTTGTCGTATGCATTGGAACATTGTGTTGCTGGGACTGGCCGGCATCTTGGGTGAGCTTCTCCGCTCCCCTCTGGCTCCTCCAGGGGCCATCTGTCTGTTTCAAGCAGTGTTTACTGAAGAAAGGTCCCTGTTCTAAAATGCCGATGTGTGGACACACTCCCCTGTGCGCTTGGTCTGCCCCGGCGGTGGTTTCCCGCTCCCCCTCTGGGTTTGGACTGCAGGCCAGAAGGGGCCTGGCATGTGCGAGCTTCCCGGCTCACCTCTGGCTCCTGAGGGGGCCTTCTGCAGGCAGTCTTTACTGAAGAAATGTCCCTGTTCTATAATGGCGATGCAGGACGCACTCCCTGTGTGTCAGGTCTCAGGCACACTCTTCTGCGCGCCTGGTCTGCCCCGGCCGTGGGTGTCCTCTCCCCCTGTGGGCTCAGACTGCTGGTCTGAAGGGGTCTGGGTTGGGCTAACTTCCCAGCTGGCCACGGGCTCCTCCAGGAGCCTTCTGCTGGTTTCAAGCTAGGTGGCACCAGAGATATCTCCTATTGTTCTTGGGGAGCTCTTTTTTTTCACCCCGTGGGATAGGGAACAGAGTGGGAATGGTAGGGAAACCCTCAACGGGTTTGGGGTGCTGTGTCTGCCTTGTGCCCCACCGACGTGGATAACCCACACCCCAAAATTCGTGCCCTGGGTCTCAGTTCCAAAGCCCTCAGGTCCAGGACGCAAGCTGTAGCCCAGTTCAGTGGCTGCAGGGATGGCGCCTTTTGCACCCTGCTCCCGTGTCAGGGTGCCTGGTTCCTGGATACTCAGTGAGGGACTTTCACCTCAGTGAGGACCCCTGCTGGTCTTCCCGCAAGCCTAGGTCGCAGGCACGGGGACCTGGGCAGCAGTGATCCGCGTTTGCTTTTCAAGAGCGCCGCGCTGCTTTTCCGTCGCTTTTCTGCGCAAGCTTACCAGCAGGCCTGCGGCTGTTGTTCTCTAATGGCACCTGGAGCCATTCGCTCACCACAGCAGCGGATCCTGCAGGGTTCTCCACAGCTCCTGTTCATGGGGTGTGGTGGCTGAAACAGTTCCTTTCCACTCACAGTCCTGCTTGATGTGTAGTTTGTTCTTTTTGGTCGTTTTGGTTTGTTTTTTTCCTCCTCTCTGTTGGGCAGAGAGTGCGGACTCTGTGGGCGGGGGAGGGGAGCAGGGTTCTGCGCTTTCCTCCCTTCTGGTCCTCTTTTATGGCCACTTTCTTCTTTGGGTAGTTTGCTGGAGTCGTCCATCCCTTTATCTTCCATGTCCCAGTTCTCACTGGGACCTGTCGCTTTTCCTCCCTATTAACTTTTTTTAATGGGAGATCTTACTCGCAGTGTCTCCTTGCCGCCATGTTGCTCCGCCTCTCTTTTTATTCTTAAAATATTCTTTAATGATTGGGAAGACATACATTTTAATAGTAATATCTTCTCCTGTTTATTAGGCATGATTATTGGTGTGATTTGCCAATCATTAGATAACTTGAGTAAATATAATTTTTACTATTATTACATCTTTCTTGAGAGAAGGGGAAAGGAAGAGCATATATGGAGACATATTCCGCATGCTTTCACTAACATCCTCTGCTCATTTTTCTCATGACTTGAAACAATGAAAAGAATGGGCGTCCCCATAAATTGGTTGTGGCCATCTATACTCACATTAAAACATTATTTAGACTTTGATCTCAGGTACTTGGTGCTATAATGTAATTTAGGAAAAAAAAATAAGACTATCAATTAAAAAGAGTGAAAAGTAGGTCATGCACTTTCTTTACAATCAGGGAAAATAGTTATAATTATGGCATCCTAATTGGACAATATAAAAGCAAGTAAGTTTATTAATCTACAATGGAACGTTGCAGGTGTTGCTAGATGAAAAAAAATTATGCCAATGAGAACAATTAGTAAAATAAGCCTGCATTTAATCTGACTTAGTCTTCAAGATCAATGTTAAGTCTTCTAGTTTAAAATAGAATTTGTTTCAGAGTTAAGCATGCATTGTAAAAATGATTATCAGGTTTGTTTCTGCTATGTGAAGAGTGAGGAGGAAAAAAAATCCAGGGTTGTTAAACTCAGAAGAAACAAATCTTTTATTTTTTTTAAATTTTTTTAAGATTTATTTATTTATACAAGTACTGTGTACGGTCAGAAGCCGAGAGGGTGAGAGAATTCACCAGATCCAGAGCAAGGAGAACAGGCGGAAGGACTGAAGTACACTGCTGAGGGGAGCAGCACAGGTGGCAGGAGAGGTCTGTGCGTCATGTGGGACCCTTGCCAGGGCCAGGGATCAAACCGACGCTGCAGAGGCTGCGAGCAGCTTCGCAGCCCAGGCGCTCAATCACTGCGCCACCAGGAAGGCCCAACAAATCTGTTTTAAACTGGAATAAAATTTGCATTCAGTAAGAAGGCCAGTCACCTGAACACATAAGCTATGCAACTCTCCCTAGGGAATATTATTTATATGTGTTTAAAAGTTATAGGGAAATCTGCCTTTGAAATGTATCCAGAGTACAACTTTTTTATACATAATTAGAGAAATAGAAAGTAACATTATGGATATTTGAGACCAGACAGAGAATTCTAGAAATGGGACATGGTTTCAGAGCTGTTTGTGGACATTCATGTAAGCAATAGAGCCAAAAAATTAGAATGTGACAAGGCTGCAAATGCACTGAAAATGATTTAGGGGAAGGAAGAGTGGAGAGTGAAATTGAATATGGGCAAGAAAGAAGAAGATACTTGAATTATTAGTTTTACCCAATATAAAAGCTTAAAAACTATGCTATTTATAATGATATCATCTTCTTGCCTTCACATCCTCACACAAAAATATTAAAACATGTGGATATGGAAAACCAGTAATGATTTTTCAGAATGATTTTGACAAAAGTTTATCGTGCTCCCTTGAGATTAAGAAAAACAATGCATTCCATTTTATATGACAAGAGAGTTATTCATGACTTAGAAAAATTTTCAATAAGTTAAAAGAGCATGTGACTTGCAGTTGTTCATTTGTTCATTGTGCCAGCCTTTTCCTTTCTGTCCACCATCTAGCCTCAAGTTCTAAAAGGACAATTTGTCACTGGAAGATCAAAACCTTTGATTTTAATGGTGCAGATACATGAAAAATAGGAATGAAGAGGACTAAATGGATTTACTATGCTGAAAAGAGTTGACAAGCTGAGGGAAAAAAGAGTAGATTCTGAAGTGTTGGGCAGAAGAGATTTGTTTATATTTTGGGGTGAAAGGAGGGGCATGAAGGAATCAAAGGAATTTTTTTACTAAAACTTCAATTTTTAAATAAAGCAAATGCAAGTAAAACTACATAGGTCAAACTTTTTTTTTCCTTTTTATTTTCCAGAATTGAAGTATTAAAAAAATATACTGCTACTCCTAATTTTCATGTAAATCATTTTTAAAAAGCCCTTTAGTTTTCTGAAGTTTTCTATGATGGAAAATATCCACATTTTTAGTGGTATAAGCAATTTCAGATGAAGGTTATGCATCTAGCTTTTGTTAGTTTTTGTGTCTACTTTCTACTACTTGGAGGAATTTGGCATTGAGAAAATACTGTGTTTGGAAAAAAATTCTAATTTTGAGGTCATACTATTCAGCACTTATCAATTTACCAAGGATAAAGAAAAGCATTACATAGCAATGAATGTTCTAAGGAGACATAGCAAACATTAATGTACCTAATGATAATGTATAAGTAATATGTGAAACAAAAACTGATAGAACTATAAGGATGAATGGGTTATGTCTGAGTTTTCTTGGCTGAATTTTCTAAATTACAATTTAAGGGCTGAACAAGAGACTATTACCAATCATTACTTAAACTCTTATTTTCTCTAGCAGATCCACTGATAAAGTAAATTTTGCACCCACCACAAGCATCTTAGATTGTGATGCTTTACACTAACCTTGGATGAATCCAGGTACCAAAACTCTGGCTTCCCTACTAAATTACTACTTTACTTTCTACTGCTGTCAGCAGTAATTGCCCTGCTTTCAGCTCTAACTGCCCTTCTTTAAACATCCACATCCAGACCCTTATTTTATGATTTTCAGGACCTGCAGCTATTGTTTTACTGTTTTTTGCCTTTAAAAAAGATATACAGTTTTCTCAGTATGAAACTGTCAATCATTAAATTAAAAAGAAAGTAGGTTCTAGTTTTGGTAAACTATTGTGAAACAGAAATCCTTCACTCACCTGTGGTTGTACATGTAAATGAAGATACATTTCTGGTGAGCAGAATTCAGTGTGTCATAAGAATCTTAAGTTTTCACAGCCATAGAAACTTACTCTTTGAAAATATTGCAGATAAGCACCAAGTTCATATTCAGTGGGGATTCATTAAAATGTTCACAAAATAGGGAAGACTGAAAAATTATCAATAAAAGGATTACTAAGAACAAAATGGGATATAAAGTACATTATGACTTCACAATTTTATAAGACCATTTAACAAAATAAAATTTGATTTTTAAAGAAGGTATAGAGGTACAATGTGTACATTTAGTTTATATATTAAATTATGATTTCCACCATAGCATCAGTCAACTTATGCCATAGCACCTAATTATTCTTTACTTGTGGTAAAAACAGCATCTTTGCATTTCTTGGAATAGCTGTTCATTTGTACAATTTCTTTTCATGTGATTTTTTTTTAACACTTCTACTTATTTGTCTGAGTCTTACTAATGTTTCATGTCTCAGCTTGAATGAGCATTTCCCAAAAGACTGAAGACTTGATTAAATGTTTATGAAAAGTGCTTCAAAATATAACCTTTCATAACGATAGCTCCTGGAATATTAGATCATGTATGTAGTAATGCTAATATTTGGTGTCATTTTATACTGTACACTACTGATGCCAAGTGCAGTGCCATTATTATGGTGTTTTTACATGTCTCTGGGTGATTCATTGAATAGAAGTTGGAAAAATTTGCAAAGCAGCCCTTTGGTTATCTTCCTGCCTTAAGTGTATCCGGCACAGTATACTATTATGTAATGTATGTATACACCACACGGTACATAATATCCATAGATATATATGTATTCTGCATTGAGTTTCATATTAACATGAAGTTACTCTTGCCTATGAATACCTCCTCTGGGCAGATAGGTTTTCTGTACTGACCTAGCAAAGAGACTTTTTTTTTTTAAGAGAATGACATAGTTCTCTAGAGGTACTATCTCTTTTAGAGATTATAGTAAAACAAAAACTGCAAGAAAGGTAAAAAAGATTCTTCCAGGAAGTTTAAATTAACAATATACTTGTGAACTTTTCACATTGTTTTTTTTTTCTCCCCTCTTCACTCTTTTATGAGCTAATGCCAAATGCAGACTGTTCCCCTCTAGTTGCACCCTGTTCCTAGTCTTGACTTTAGCCACTGAGGCAGCTTTCTGCTAGTTTACAATGTTGCCTTTTCAAAAGAAAGATCAGAGATTTAGTAATTTTCATGTAGGATGCTTTTAAGGTAGTGGTGCTTGTTATTGTGGCTTTCTTAGTTAATATCTAAAGGGAGATCTTTGAAGATAGCACTAACCTAGCTCATTTAAAAAGCAAAATTAGATTATTCTATTTGCTTTAGTTCACAACACATGACAATTAGGTTTCTTAATGGATTTGGGAAACTCAATAATTCTTTGCTCAGATTAGATTTTATTAGATTTGGATGTCTTTCATACTAACTTTTAAAGATCTGTAGACAGTATAATCAGATTAGAGTCCCAGACTCAATGACTTACAATATATTATAACATTTTTATTGGCTCTTCACAAGCACCTAAAGTCACATTGAGAAAATATACTGAGAGTTCACAAAATTAAATTGGGAAGGCAAGAAATTGGCAATCCTTGCATTGTAAAATTTCCTCCCTGTCAGGACATTTCTTCTTTGTTTTAACATAGTTTAATTCTTTGCAGAGGAGAATACTTATTTGTATCTACATGTATATTTATGTATACAATATAAAATAAGGAACAGAATTTTAAAAAGATTTCCACTCATGATGCATGTGTAGTAATTAAGTGTTATATGGATACTGCCATCTTTGAAACTTGTTTAATTACCAGGAAATAAAGGTCACATGTTACATTATTTTTAAACTGCTGACAGACAATGGCATTTTAAATAAGACTGTCCCAACAGTAGACTTTATAGCAAATATAAAGCAATCTTGAAGATAATTATTAGGTTTCAGTGACTGATAAAACTAAAATTAATACCAATATATTTTAACCAAGAGATTTATCTTTGCTCTGTATAACTCATTAACCTTAGCATTTTATTTTCATTGTTGTGAAATGACTTTGGATGTTTGCAAATGTAGAAAATACATTGATCAAATTATTTTTAAAATAATAAGATGGGAGAAGGCAAATCCCTATTGCAATTCCTCGGCACATGCAAACATGTGCTTCACAAAAGTTGGTCACTCCATGGGGATGGTTGTTGGGTGATCACATCCTTTTAGTCCAGTTTGAGCCAGGGTCCTTTGAGGGTTTTGCTTATAGTCTTCCTACACATTTCTTTTGTATAATAAACATTTAATATGCTTAGTTGCCAGCTAAAGAATTAGATAGGGCAACTTACCCTCTGGATGAAAGTAGCATCATAAATAAATACCCTATGGGATCAAGGGGTTAAACAATCCTAGCTGTAGTCATCTTTCTCTCAGATTGAAGAGGCCTTTCCTGCTCCATAATTTGTTAGCCCCTGTCACCACAAGCCTTATTTTATAGAAGTACTTTGATTTTTTTTAGTTTTTCTGAAAAACTACTTTTTCCTTCTATAAACTGGTATTTGTTTCCTGTTCTGAAAACTGCTTTTCAGTAAACCCAGTATGAAGGATAGTAAATGTCTATTAAATGTCTATGAACACCTAAAACTGTTCAAACTGACAAATAGTTTTTGCTACTTGACTGAGATCAAGATCTCTACCTTCCATTATAATTTGGAGACCACATAAGTTGTCTAAATTGAGATATTTAGCTGAAAAATGCCATTGTTAATAGTCTTGCAAGAAAGTGGTTATGAATTACTGCTGTCCAGACACACTTTACATATATAATTATCCTAATTATAACACAAGGATGGATGGAAGAAAAGGTAGATAAACTGAATTTTGGGATGTAATCTTAATGTAGTGCTATTGTTATTCAGATATATTCCTATGAAGCAGCATCCTTCAAAGCCTGGGCTTATATTTTGCCATCAATTTCTTCCAATATATAAAATATTTTACATGTAATGTTTATAAATGAAGTACATCTTAGATAAGCTGTTCTTTCATTTTGATCATGACCTAAATGACTAAATTCAATGTTTATAAGACCTCTAATTAAAATAGTATGCCAGGATCACTTCAATCCTTCAAAAACCATGAGTATTTTATAAATTATTCTCCATCACAAACTGCTAGCTAGGAGTGGTATGGCTTGATTAGAATATATAATCTATCTTCCTAAAACATGAGACACTTCTTTATACTGTCTCTAGTTCTCTAAAGATACTATATTGCCTTGTGCTTTACATAGTTTTAATCTTCACAATACTGTTCTTTCTCTATGTTATTGCTACTTTTACAGGAAAGATTCACTAAAGGAAGCTCATCAAGTTGTACTTAACAAATGACTTGCTATTTTCACCTAGAACTTATTGTAAAGCAGGGATTATGAAACATTTTCTGTAGATATTCAAACAAAAAATGTTTCAGATGTTGTAGATCATACATAGTCTCTACTATTCTATACTTTTTTTCTAACACTTTAAAAAGGAACTCAATTACACACGTGAACCATTTTACCAACCCCTCTAATGCATTAGCTAATTTGCTTAATGAATGTATAACATAACAATAAATAATACATTCACTCTACAATGTTTTTAGTTCTGGCAAAGGTGACTGGAATTTATCCAAACATAAGCATATCTACATAGCCTAATTAGATATAGTCACAAAGCCTACTAACTTGAAATATGTTAGCACCAAACACACTATGTATTCTTTTGAATCACTTCATATCACTTAAATTCTGACAGAAAGATTATGGCCCACATAACTTCCATTGATTCCCAGCTTGGTCATTTACTATCAGTATAATATATTTTTTAAGATTTATTCATACAAGAACAGGGGTGAAGGATGAGAGGATTTACCAGAGACAGAATGGGAAGCTACTGAAATACACTGCTGAGGGGATCAAACACATACCAAAATGGCTGGCGATAGCTTAATAGTGTTTAGACTTTAACCCCTGTGCTACCAGGGAGGCCCCTTATTATCAGTATAATCTTGGCAAGTAAATTTACTATGCCTCTGATTCCTCACTATGAAAGGTATACAAATGATACAGTCAAACTCAGATTTGTTGCAGTTTATAACAAGCAAAGCACATAGTAGTATTTCAATAAATGTTAGCTGTCATTATTTTTTTCATTCTAGCTAGTCTACTGCCTAGAATTATAGCTGTTAGAATATTTGTGGTCTGTGTCAATTAAGTATTAATGCAGTGAACTACAGTGATGTGAGACATAGGCTAATAAATATAGGGGATTTAGTGCATCTTAAAAAAAAAAACTTAAGGCAGTGTCTTTGTCCTTGTAAAGTTATACAATGATTATCTGAATAATTGTAATATCTGACTGGATAACATGAATACTATTGAGTTCAAAGTCATGAGCTCCTCCTTTAAGTTTCACCCCAGTAGATTGTTCTATTAGAAGGAATGGGAAAGTCTTCCTAGAGAATATGTAAAGTGTAAAATGCCTTTGAACATTTGTGAAGAATTTAAGATAGGAACAAGTAAAGGGCAGCTGTAAATTGGAGTAATTGCATCAGCAAGCTTCTAAAGCAGAGTATTATAAAGTATATTCCATATGAAAGAAAGATTAGCATGAAATCATTCAGAGAGGTTCATTAAAATCACAGGTCATTCTAAATGCCAAGATATGACTATGTACTTGCCTACATAGGTTGTCAGGAGAAAAGGACAAGTGTCTCTTTCTGTGTCTCTTTCACATAAGTTTAGGATGATTGATCTCATGGGAATATCGGCTGGTTCAGGGTAGCTGTAGATTCTGTGTGGAAAGCTAAAACTATGGTTTAAGTGGACATAATCCAAGTTTAAACAAGTGTAATAGTAACACAAAAGAAGAATTTAGCTAGAAAATGGGCCTCCCTTGGGGGTGCAGCCATTGAGCACTGGGCTGCGAAGCTACCTGTAGCCTCTGCAGCGCCGGTTCGATCCCCGGCCGCCAGCGAGGGTCCCACATGGCACGCAGGTCTCTCTTGCCGCGCCCGCTGCTCCCCTCAGCAGTGTATTTCATTAGTCTGTCTGTTCTGCTCCCCGCTCTGGTGAATTCTCTCACCC